GTTACAGGCAGGAAGGCCGTGTTTCATTTTAATCGTGTCTTTTTCTGTTGTTGTTTGTCTTTGGAACTTACCGTGATTCAATGACCAAAGAGATGACAAGCTGTTACTGTATTGTTGTTTTTAATGTACTATGTGATTCTTTTTTGTTTCTTTGTGTTGTTGTTGTTGTTGTTCTGCCTATGGAATATCCCTGTTGTCACTGTATTTGATTTTGGTACCTTGTATCTTGTACATACATTTATCTAATTGGGGAGGGGAGGGGAATAACAAAATGCTGAAACAAGGACACAAGATGACCCATTGCAACATGAGACTCACAAAACACCATGTTGGAAATAAACTTAAAAACTTTGTGGGGGGGAGGAGGGAGGGAGGGAAGGGATGGTAGGAGAAAAACAAAGGAGGGGGTTACAATTCTGACAAGAAATGTATTCACTACCTTACTAATGCAACTGTAACCTCTCTGTACTGCATCTTTACAAGAAAAAAAATATAATGCATGCCAGGCTGACTGCAGGTTTAAGCTTCTTGGTGATCCTGAGACTTGTCTTACCCTCCAAAAAGGCTGAGGACTAAGGACTGTACTTAAAAGATAAAGTTGTTAGCCAGGCACTGGAGGCTCAGGCCTGTCATCCTAGCTATTCCACAGGCTGAGATATGAAGATGGCAATTTGAAGCCAGCCCTGGCAGGAAAAGTCGGTGAGACTTTTATCTCCAGTTAACTAACAAAGTGTTGGAAGTGAAGCTGTGGCTTAATTAGTAGACCACTTTAGCCAGAAAGCTCAGAGACACAGTGCAGGCCCCCTGAGTTCCAGCCTCAGGACCTGCTCAAAACAAAAACAAAAACAAATGTGTCAAATGGCTTATTTTATGTTAGAAGTAAAAGCAAAACAGTCATCTCAAATATAAACACTAGTTTAAGGATTTTTTAAAAAGCATAACCTTTAAACTTACCAGACATTGTTTTCACAAAAGGTGTTTACTTATAAATACACTTTCATTTGCTGCTTCTATTTTTATATTTGGGCTTTTGTTTTGAACTATTCCAAATACTTATGACTCAAGTAGTTTCAACTAAGGTACAACGTGTCAGATAAGAGAATTCCTTAAATGTAATTATTTGTCTTGGGTCATGTTAGAACTTTCATTTGCTTTGCTACCAGTGTTATACGAAAGAATTCCATTCTCAGGACATTCATGTGTCCAAGTTTGCTGAACATACTAAAATATCCAGGTCAGCATTTTGGATAAAATGAATAGTTATTTTTTTAATACAGAGGTAAATGATTAGTGAAAGTGAATCAAAAGCCATATTCAGTGCTTGATTCTTTGTGCTTCAGGCAGAGTGTCAATAAAAAGCCCAAGAACAAAACATACGACCCTGAGGTCCTTAAAGAGCTCTTCCCCAGGATGCTGGCATGGGGGATTAAGAAAGTCAAGTTACAGAATCTTGCTTGTTCTTGTGTCATTACTCTAAGGGTAGAAAGAAAACACAAATTGGTCAAGGGACTATTCACTAAAAGTTCCATTGAGACAGAAGTATAGCCCATTTTTTATCTTATACCATCCCTTAAATTAATAGTGAGATGTTGGAACTATTACCAAATTCAAATGAGGCTGCTCTAAGGTTCTCAATGAAGACAACAGTGGTAGTGTTTTCTCTTCACCCTGAACTGGTTCTAAAGAAAAACACCACTGAATAGATGAGACATTTACATCTTGGTGAGTAGAAGCAAGACGGATCAAATGAAGCTGCTGGGAAATGAAGAATCAAACTATATTTTAGTCACTATAATAAGGAAATTTCTGAATAAAATAAAGATATTCACCCATTGCTTTTGCACCTTTTATAAACTATACATAATTATCTTATTTGTCCTTCTAGAATACATGATCTCCTCTTAGCATGAAATTTAATTCTCCAATTATCTGCAAAGCATTGAAATTCTTCTATCTTTAGGTATACAATAGCCAGAATTCAAGCTGAAATTTGGAGACTTCATGACTTCATGCCTGTTAGAAAAACTATTACTCTGGAAGATCTGGCACAATTCCAGAGCAATGCTTAAAGTGAGAGCTCCAATTGGAAGAGTTTATACACTGCTCAGTTATTCTCAGCTGTGAGGTAGAAAAGACAATGTAATTTACATCCTGAGTCACTTCTCAGGGAAGCAGATATAATAGCAAAGTACTCCAGAAAACATACAAAATAAACAGGATCTTGAAAATGGGACCATTACTAAAATATGCAGTGCTCACAAAAGAAACAGACTTTATTCAGACCTCAAACTCAAGAATCTTCTTGTGATACAGCCATGTTAAAAGAAATCTATATTGTTCATTTTATAAGAGAAATAAGGCCTGACTTACTTCCCATGGTTTCCCTGATCTGCAATAACTAGTCTATGTCTAGGACAAGCAGAAAAGGTCAAAAGCTATGTACTTATGATCATATAAGGTGATGCTAAGCAAAATGAACCCCAAGAGAGGGACACAAGAGTTTTTATCTTTGTTGCTGTTGTTTTTAATGTACTTGTAATGTACTATGTGATTTTTTTTGTTTCTCTTCTGTGCTCTTCCTCTATGGTATAACCCTGTTTTCACAGTATTTGATTCTGGTGCCCTGCATCTTGTATACACATTTTTCTAATTTGAAGAGGGGAAAGGAAATAAGAAAATGCTGAAATAAGGATACAGGTTAACCCATTGCAACAATAAGATATGCAAGACACTATGTTGAAAATAAACTTTAAAAATCTGGAGAGGGGAGGGAGGAGTTGGGGAGGTAGGAAGAGAAGAGATGATAGGGGACAAACAAAGGAGGGGGTGACAATGTTCAATAGGAAATGGACTCATTACCTTGCTCATGTAACTGTAACCCCTCTGTACAGTATCTCTACAATAAAAATATATATTAAAAATTAAACATAAGAGAAATAAGAAAATCAGTATACCATGCCAACTGAGATATGATTGTAATTGACAGGAAAACATTTCGTCTGAAATCAATGTTGGATTTAAATATGTTAGTCTTCAAATATCTTAATGGCCAAATATTCAATTTTAACTAAACATTTCTTAAAATTCCGCCTTCTGGTTTATTTAAAATATGAAATATTAATTTTTCATTTAGATTACAATGCAATAGCAACTTTAGCTAGATAATTTAATGTGATTTGTATTATATAGCATATACTCTATATATTGTTATAGATATTATTATATTGTGTGTATAGAGATATATATAGTATGACTTTGGATTATTTTGTTCTATTTGAGTTTTAAACTTTGGAAACCTTTCTTTCTAATGTATAGATTATTTACATTAAACCAAAGGAATGAAAATGGCATTGTACAAGTATTTGGTAAAAAATAAATTATGAACACTATTAACTGTAAATGTGTGGAAAATATGCCATATTAATGGTGTAGCCAAATAAGTCTTTTTACTCTCATTTGATTAAATCATTTCCATATTAACCTCATGTAAATAACAAGCAGATATAATAAAATGTCAGCACATTCATGGGTGACTTTGAAATTACCCTAAAATCCAGAATTTTGATATTTTGACCTCAGTTTAATGTTAGGGTTCTGACAAGCGAGAATGAATATGTGTATATATTTGGGTTGTAGGATTTGCCACTGAATGCTTTTCTTGACAACCCATGTTTCTATGTCCAAAGCATGCAATAGGAATCAAAGATGTGAACACAATGAACTCATCTCAGAGATGACTCCATTGCTCAACAGCTATGTCTATACATCAGATCTTGGACTCAGACCAAGATCTCAATCAAGACAGAAAGAAAGAAAAGCAAGTCTTAGAGATGGACATTTCTAAAGTCCAAGAGATACCAGACATAACCAAATCATAATTTTGCTAAATTGTGTTCTAGCTCAGTCTATTAGCAACTCTATTTTAAAATAAATAGAAAAAACACATAATATTCGGTTTCATGAACTTACAGAAAACCTGATAATAGTTAGCAGAGGTAGAACATATAAAAAGCAATATTGTTTTCTCCATCAGAATAATTTCTTCTACATATCTGAATCTTAGAACTCTTATTTCTCTGCTTAGTTGTCCTAAAGGTAAGAATGGTGGACCTTGGTACACCTGACTGTCCTCACTCAGGTATTACAAGAGTTCAAGAAAAGTTTCTCAAATTATACAGACTGTAGTAATAAGAGCACTCCGTGAATCAGTCCATCACAGGCCTAAGAGTTCATATGAAGCAAAGGGGGCTTTATAATATAATGTTTATTACAGATCCAGCTAAACTAATCAGGAATGGGAATTTGTGTCTCAGAGAAAAATATTCCAATAACAGAAATTGAAGCAATTCATTCCATTCATTCCATAAATTATTATCTCATGAGTTGAAGTGTCTTGCACATGTTAGGCGAATTCTCTACCACTGAGCTACACTCTCAGCCCTACTAAATGTTTAAATAAATGTCAGTTAAAAGGCTTTTTCAGTACTTCAAGAGATAGGTAAATAAGATAGAGATGGAGAATAAATGATGACTTCCAATAGAAAGGATTGCAAAATGGTTAGGACATAATCATTTGCTTATTTTCTCACATTTAAAAAACCAGTTCCATATCTAGGACTTGGAGAGTTGTTTGGAGATGAGAGGAAACTATTAAGACCCACAGATACTGGAAAAAGAGAGTCACAGTCTCAGTTTTGGTCATGTAAAATTGGAAATGCCTCAGCAAAACTCAAATGTTAACTATACAAATAATCACATGAGTCTATAACTCAGAAACAAAAGTTGGCTGGATCTATAAATATGAAAATGTTCTGTTGATAGATATTGCCTAGTCTTGCAAATGAATATGATCACAGGGGATGTTAGAGAAGAAACTAGAAAACACATACGAGCAAAGATACATAAAGTTCTTGAAGAAAAGAAAGAGTAAAGAGGCAAGACTGAACAGTTAAAAAATATAAAACAGAAATAAAGAGTAACCTTTTAAGCAAAGAATTGTCATTGATCCTTAACCATTGGGCTAAGAGCAAGTATAATATCTGTTCTTAGCATTTTAATATCTGGTACATCTTCTATCAGAGCATAATATATTAAATGGATTTTTAGAACCAGAAGATGGAATAGGAACTGTATCCCTCTTTCTCATGCATTGGCCTGGTACTTGCAGCAACAGTGCCTCCTCTCAGAGAAATAAAAAAAAGTCATGCTGATAAAGATTCGTTAATAAATTATTACTCCACACTTCTTCTTAAACAACCTAGTTTTATTGAGCTAAAAGGTTCTTAGTAAAGTGAGAGACAACATAAGTAAACAGAAGCAATTGGCTTTCTCTATTTTAACATAGCTAAAGAAAAGATGACTAAGGGTTCAGAAAGGTATTTTTGTTTAGTGATAGAAGGTTGAAGGAGTTCCAAAATGCAGACTTTTATTTTCTGTGGGAAGTAAGAGACTTCAGAAACCCTTCTGAGGGTGGCAAGGTAAGATCCTAGGAGTCTAAACAGAATGGAAAGGTCTGAAGGTGCCACAAGGAAGAGCAGGACAATGAGCTACTTCCCAATGAACACAGGAAAACATAAGGTAAATTTTGACCACCCTCTACTCTGGGGAATACAAATGAGGACGGTGTCATTCCAATCTGGCTTGTATAATTTTCTTTCACTACCCTTCATTGTACACGTGGAAGCATTCGAGAGGTTGATGATAGAGATGCAGAAGACAGTGAGAGATGATGGAGCATGTGTGCCAAGTTAAATAGAGAAGGAAGTGAGACGTAATAATTCGTGATGAAAGTAATGAGATTAATGACTAGAGCAGTGATGAGAAATGAAAGAACTGAACCTATCAAGGAGGCCAAAAAATATAAGCTTTGGAAATGGTGGAACAAGCACAAGGTTGTTAGAAAAGCATAAAAGTTGGAGATGAATAGAACGCTTCAGTAAATAGTTTTGGAAATAGAAGGGCAGAGTGACTGCAAAGACCATAATGGAACAGAGTGAGATTACATGGTGAGGGATATTAGAGATGTCATTACACTGAAATTGAATGAGCATGAAGAAGTCTGTGGACCAGGCACAAATCTTACCCAAAATAAGACCAAAGGAGGATGCTCTTAGGAGAGTAACACAAAAGCCCAATGCCATGTGCATCTGATGATATAAAATAATATTTATCAAAATAACCTCCAGGAAATGGAAACAAGACGATGCTTTTTCGTTGTTGCTTTTTTGTTTTCTTTTCTATTTGTTTTTCTTGCTCCTTTATCTGTCATGGGGAGGGTAAGAGGGTGTACAGAAATGGAGGGACACAGGGTGAACAAATGCAGCAGTGATACTCACTAGACACTGTGTTGAGAGTGAACTATACAACTTGTTAATGGAGATGGGAGGGGAAAAACTGGGAGAGAGCAAGGGAAGGGGTGACACTATCCAAAAAGAAATGTACACTTTACCTGACTCATGCAACTGTAATCCTTTTGTACCTCACCTTTATAATAACAATAAGAAATAGGAACCTTAACTTGAAGACACACATTCCACATGATGAGCAGATGTAATTAACAAAGAGGCAGATGGGGCAATAGGGTTTGGAAAACAAAAAATAGAATTTCATAAGCACACAGGTGAGAATGGGTCTGAAAACACACTTGGTGAAATTACACACGTAAGAGGACTACAGAGGAAGTGGTGTCCACGGGAGAGCAAGTTGGCAGACATAAGAAATGTAATGATTATGAAAACTGAAGCTGACATCAAAGGGTTGGATTATTTTGCTATAATCAGAACAAGTAGGAAATTGTTCACACTAAGGCGTATGGGGCTAATTTGCTGCAGGTAGGTTTTATTTATGCATATATTCAGAATACAGAATAGTAGTAAGAGGCAAAATATACAACTCACAGAGGCAAAGTAATCATGCACAGATGAATTTTCCTAAAAAATGAATAAGAAAGATTTTGGTTTCAGGCAAAAACAAAAAGCAAAACAAGAAAAGAACTAAGACATTTTGAAGGAAAAAAAGAAAATAAAAACTACGAATTTAACAGCAGACAAAATGCCCAGTTACCACCATTTCCTATACAAAGTCTAGTCAGAATATATTTTGGAAATTATGCACACAAATAATATAGAATGACATTTCTGTCTTATAATTGTCTGTATTTTTTCCAGTGTGTAAATCCTTGCTGTATCTTTGTGACATTTTAAGGATAGTTTTTTCTTCACTTTTCTATAATAACAAGGTCTTGTTATTCTAATAACACTATTTTTCTGAGTGCAGATTCTACTTGTTGACTTGCTATTCCTTTATAGACTTCAATTTTCTCAAATATACAGTGGTAACACATAGTGCCTCACGTTGTATAGTATCTTTTATCCTTTCTTCCTCCTCCTCTCCTTTTCTTCTTTCTTCCTTCCTTTGTTGCTTCCGTCCTCATTTTATTCCCACTTTCCCTCCTTCTTTCCTTCCCTCTATCCTTTCTTCTTTCCTTTCTTCCTTCCCTTCTTCTTTCCCTCCCTTCTTCCTGTCTTCCTCCCTCCTTTTCCTTCTCCTTCCTTCCTTCTTTACCTCCCTCCTTCCCTTAATCCCTCCTTTACTCCCTCCCTCTACTCTCTGCACTGGGATTTTAAATCAGGATACTGCTTTTACCAGGAAGTTTCTTAACTCAGTCCACTCTATTGCTCTGATTATTTTTGAGATGTTATTTTGTTCTTTTGCTCAGGTTGGTTTGAACCATGATTCTCCTAGTTTTTACTTTGCATCGTAGCTGGGATGATAGACACTTGCCACCAATCTCAGCTTTTTCTGTTGAGAAATGTCCATCTGTATTTGTGTGTGTGTGTGTGTGTGTGTGTGTGTGTGTGTGTGTGTGTGTGTGTGTGTGTGTGTGTGTGTGTGTGTGTGTGCCAGGACCAGGATTTGAACTGAGGGCTTCTGTTCTCTCTTGGTCTTTTTGCTCAAAACTGGCACTCTATACCTAAGTCACATCACTTCCTGTCAAAATATTTTAAACGTAGTCATTAATACAGATTCTGTGTCTCCTCCACTTTCTCTTTTTGTGAGAGATCCATTTCTCTCTCTCTCTCACTCTCTCGCTCTAGCTCGTTCTAGCTCGTTCTCCCTCGCTCGCTCACTCGCTTGTTCTGGGGCTTTAACTCAAGGCCCGGGTAATGTCCCTGAACTTCTCTGTGCTCAGGCTATTATTCTACCACTTGAGCCACAGCTCCATTTCTGCCATTTTCTGAGGCGTTTACTGGAGATAAAAGTCTTATGGACTTTCCTGCCTGGGCTGACTTCGAACCACAAACCTCAGATGTCAACATCCTGAGTAGCTAGGATTACAGATGTGAGCCACATGAGCCACCAGCAACTGCTGCCTTTCTCATTTTTAAGGATCATATATACTGGCTCCTTTATTTATATAATGGCTCAAAGGCTTCTGAAATTGTGTAGTCTACTGGTTTGCAATTAGAAACCTTCAGAAAACTTTATAAACAACCAGAAATAAATCATTAAGTGGAAGAAGAATTAAAGTTTTATCAATGTTTCTTCTATGGACATAAAAAGAGAAGTAAAAAATGTATTTCCTACTTAAGACTACTTAAATAGTTGGCTTCTTTATCATATCACTTATAATAATCCTTAAAGGAAATCATAGTATGTGTTTATTGGTTCCAAAGATCTACTGTTGCTTTGCATGGTTCTGTTTTAATTATCTGTAATGATTTGCTAACCTCATTGAATTATAAATTTGATATCCCCTCCAGTCCATTTAATCTTATAGGATGTCTGGAATCACACTATATTATAAGATAAAAGCAACCTAAATTCTATCAAGAAAATTACTTAATTAAAACATGAGTATCATAAAAATTATATCACATCAGAGCTTACTATGCTCTGTGCAAACCAAAGAGCTATGTGGAAATAAACTTTACATATATCTTGACATAAACAACATAAATGTAATTTATAAGGTAATCCTCTATGTTAGAAAGTCTGAAATGAAAATAATATTTTAGTTACACTGACCCTTCTATGCTTCAGTATTTGCTTTTGTGCTAGATTATTTATTTCATTGTTATACTAGGAGGCATCATCAAGCTCCATACTTTTTTTAAAGAAAAAGTTGATAGAACTTTGGTTGTCAGAGGATGATCAATAAATACTCAGTTATGGTTAGATGGGAGTAAGGAGGTTTGGTTTGCTAAAAATAATGTACTATATATATTTTTAAAGCTAGAAGTATTTTAATTATTTTCAGCACAAATAATTTGTAAATGAATATGTAAGTTTAGCCTAATTTAAACATAATACAGTATGTGTACACACACACACACACACACACACACACACACACACACACACACACACACACATACAACAAAACATCCTGTGTTACCAAATAAACAATTTTTATTTTATGTGTCATTTAACAAAAATATGGATTAAATAATCCACAAGTGAATCCAAAGCTAGAAACTACAAAACATGAAAATGTTCTTAGTCACCTACATATTTTTTTCTGTTTCTGATTTCCCTCTCATCATGACAAGTAGGAAACATAAACACTGAATGTAAGATATTTCCCAAATTTTGTTTAAAAAAGTAAATTAACATGCACTGAACTCTTTTTTTCAAAGCATGGTGCTGAAAGTGAATGGAGATTGCCTTCGTGTATTCTAAAGTATCAAATTTAGGACCTTAGAGATTGCCTCAGTGTATTCTAAAGGATCAAATTTAGGAGTCAGGTCCTAGTGTAAAAATGCCAGGAGAGACCTCCCCTCAGTGGGTGAAGCCAGTGTCAGCAGGCTCATGCAGTCATAGCTAATAGTTGAATATAACATGTTCCATGACAGCAGATATGAGGTAACTGGATTTAAAACATGAAAGAAGTAGCAGCTTGAACAAATTTGTGCCACAAAGGCTGGGAAAGGTGTTTATTTGTTTTGTTTTAGTGTGTTTTTGTTTGCTTTCTGTTGTATATATTCCAGTAGAACATTTTGCTTTATTTTTATATCAAAGATGTTTAGTCACATTCATCTCTTTGAAAGCTTAGAAAATGTCTTATTGGGAAACAATATATATATAAAAGAACAAAATACATGACCCAAAGCCTACCTGTTCAAGTAGATGAAGAGAACCACGTTGAGAGGATTAATTAAAGAAAGACATTGTATCAAAACAA